CGAGCATTTATGTAATTATTAATTTGTAAATGGATAAAAAATAGTATATAGGCGATACTATAAAAAAGAATGTAAAATTAATCATATGAATATGTATTTTTATGTATATGTATCGCGATTATCCTTACGCCACTAATCTCTTTGAGACACCGAGTGGCGCGTGTCTAATCACAGAAATGAATGGAATTCCGAATACATTAATACATATCAACTTATATCATCCGAAGAAGAGAACTTACTAAGGATTTTATATGATCATCTGTTTGTATAGAATTAGTTTTTTTTTTTAAATTGGTTTTTCTTATTATTTGATCTCATTCTGTTGTAATTCAGTCGATAATACATTCGACAAGTATATATATAAACAAATCTACAACTAATTAGCTATACTGTCAATAAAATATACCAATACCTTGAGATTTGTTATTAAAATAATAAATACGTGCACAAATACATAAATGAAAGTAGACCATTTCAATATTGTTCAGGATTCGAGAACTTTACAAGCATCCTGGATATCGGAAATTTATAAGCCTTCTTCTAGTTCTCGAATTTTCTAAAACTTACGTTTCTCGAAATTCTCCAAGTCTTCTAAAGCTTTATAATTCTCGAACGTCCTAAAATGTTTATCTAGTCTCCGCATAACAACACCAATCCATTGTAACCAAGCTTCACTAACAAGTCTGTCGCCTAGATATTTAAAGCGAGCGTCTCGAGTGTCGAGAAATCTCTCTCTCTCTCTCTCTCTCTCTCTCTCTCTCTCTCTCTCTCTAAACAGAGCCGCCATCGAAGGAACAGGCGTCCATGCGTGTATTATCGAGGCTAAAGGAAATGAAAAGTCGTCTTAGTGAAGCCATTGCAGAAGGAACACACGTCGATTCTCCAGTGCGTGTCAACTAACTAAAAGTCAAAGGTGCTGACTGCATTAAAAGAAAATATTCGACTACAAGAAGCATGGTATCGAAGTACTCCGTATCACGGAGGTATACCAATAGTCTCTATTGAGGGTAACTATTACATAAGAATTAAGCCATTCTCCCTCCAATTGAGCACACTCCTTGGAAAGGAGTATGGCTTATGCTGTTCTTACTCACAGCTATACAGTTGCCTTGACCTCATCCTATGATGAATAATTCATCATCGAGAGAGACTCCTGGTATACCTCCGAGATACGGAGTACTTCGATACCATGCTTCTTGTAGTCGAATATTTTCTTTTAATGCAGTCAGCACCTTTGACTTTTAGTTAGTTGACACGCACTGGAGAATCGACGTGTGTTCCTTCTGCAATGGCTTCACTAAGAGAGCGACTGTTCCTTCCATGACGTCCCCACTAAGAGTACTTTTCACTTCCTTTAACTTCGTTCATACGTACACGGACGCGTGTTCCTTCCATGGCGGCCCTGCTGAATATCTGTGAGAAGTAATGAATATCACTTTATGGTAATGGGTACACATAGTAATGGATCAAATATCTGAGCGACGTCAGATAAAATGAGGCGTTTAGTAGGATTGTTTATTTCCACCAAATTTTTTTCCTGTCGTGAATGTGAATTTCTCCTGCTTTGAAGACCATATTAAGCCAAGTATTTTGGTAGCGCAATCATCGAACTTGATTGGGGTGTCATTTCGATGCGCGCTGATTGCGGTGATTACATTTTGATGTTTAGCATACCATTTTGCCAACGGGAAACCGCACGCCATGCAGAGATCTCGTAATTGGAGTGCGACTTCGGTTAACTGTTCTGGAGTGTCTGCACTTTCTAAGATGTCGTCTACATATCTGCCATGGGTGATGGATGGCACGGCAAGGGAGAATTTGACTCCCTCGGTTGGAATAATGTTCTGATTGCCAGAAACGAAGTACCTCTTGTTCCATATGTGACTGTTGTCAAATGGTATGTCACTTCTGTCCCTTGTTCGTATATTCACAGGATTCTCTGAAGGTCCCAGTCATTCGTGTGGATTCTTATATGCCTGTACATTTTAGTAATGTCGGTGGCGAACAGATGTTTTTATCTTCTAATTGAACACTGTAGCCTTCGTCATGTGATTAAGATCCTCATATTCGATCATGAACTGCTGATACTGTCGCTGATATTCCTTGTCTCTCGAAAATTGTCTTAATAAACTTGTAAGCAGCGACACGTTGCATTGTACATATTACTTTGATTGTTGATAGATGTTTTCAGACGAATCCAAACTATATAACTCCCGATAGAATCAGGTAATTGAGTACTCTTAAAGTGTTTTTCGCACTACTGCTCTTCAGGCGTATACTTGTGAGTGTCGTTTGATTTCACCTCTTCCTGAACTCAAAACTTCGTCAATAGTTCATGTAATGTATCCTTGTTATCCTGTTTTGAAACATGAAGTGCTGTGGTCGTTGGAGATCTCGTTGAGTGTGCGGATCCCAACACGAGCCATCCAAAAAATGGACAACTGCGCTATTGACATTGATGGAGAACAAGCGATGACGCGAGGCTTGATGATCTGCTCGTACATGTCTTCACCAAGAATTATGTCTACTGAACGAGGTGTAAAATACTGCGGATCGGCCAATGTTGAGTTTTTTCAAGTGTGGCCAATCGTGTGAGATTGGTTCGAAGGAAGGAATGGTCAATAATGTGGTCAATGTCTTGAGAATGTGAGACCGTATGGTGACTAATGGATATTGAACCTTGTGTCTTAGCAGATTGGATGGCTGAGTGGATGGTGGAATGTTTTCGAGGAATGTTGAGTTGTCTGATGAGTTTTTCATTGCCGAATGTAAGTTCAGAGCCTGTGTCGATGAGAAGACGAGCTTGTAGTGTAGTAGTTTTTGACCGTATTTCTCTTGCCACATCCTCGCTATATCTGTATGACATTAGGATCAATAAACTTTGACATTTAATGCGCACGTAATTTTTTTTATGCGTATGGTTTAGCTGAATAAAGCTGAATATTAAACTGTTGAACTTGTAAAAAATTATTAGTGAATCATAAAAATATTATGACACCGCCGTTTCTTTGAGACAAACGTTTTTATAGAATGTTAGTATGATCGGAGCTTATTTCTGTAATTTCTTATAAATCTGATCAAATTTCGTCAATACAAAAGAATCATTTGACGAACTTATATACCAAAATTTGGAAAGGTAAGTTTTAATGCAGCTTGTCGAACAAAGACTATTTTTAAAGATAAATATTATTCAACTCTATTCCTGCATTGTATAAAAGAAATCGAGTATTCGATAAATTTTAATACATTTAAGACGTCAATCATCTATTTTATGTACAATGTAAATATTAATAACGTACGATTCACATTCCATAAAAACTTGTGATTTTATTTTAAATACTCTTCCTAATAAAATAAGTTTATACTTGTACAATAGTTTATAAAATTGTTATTTGCCAAAATCAATAAATAAAAAACAAAAACCTGCCTGTCTGTTGACCAGTTTTCAAAATGATGAGACAAAAAAAAAAAAAAAAAAAAAAAGAAAAAAATTACTCTTGCTATAATGTAAGGATATAATTTTTCTAATTTTAATTTATTAAGATATATTATAGAAAAATATATTTTAAAAAATACGGTTGAAATCAAATAATGTTAAAAGTTAACAAATATTAAATAACTCATAGTATATATATATATAACTTTATCTAGCAAATAAAAATTTCAACGTTCTTATTTATAAAATCAAATCTTAATCATCAAATGTAATATTAAAACAATATACATTTTACGATTATCTATTTAACAATTATATTTATCAAAACTGTAAAATATTAACTTCTTCAAATATCTATACGAATTTTACATAAATTATATTATATATTTAAATAATAAGACAAATATATACTCTTATCTATTATTTTTTAATTAATCAAAATTTATCCCAAGGGAATATTAAGATGAATATGAAATTTAAAAAATTTTGTGTCTTTAATTTATTAAATTTAATTTCTAATTATCTACCAATAATTTACATAATTATATGCTATTTTTATGCAATTAAATATATCGAATATGTTCAATCTCAGTAATAATATTATCTGTTTTTTTTTTATTCCAATATAATTGTAAAGGCAGTATATTAATTATTATAATTAATCTAGTAATAACAAATAAAATTCAAGTAAAATATAATACATTTGTTAACAATGAGTGTGTAAGCTATAGCATGAGAATAAATTTTCTTTTGAAAATCTTCCAAATCATCTTTGCTATAATTATTAAGTTATTATAAAATATATATGCAGAAGATAAGATGAAACGAAATAATGAATTATACTTGAAAATTTTCATATTCCACGTTGACATTATAAAATCTTGGTACATTTACAGAATGTTTGCTATCAATTTTGTGCACATATATTTTACTTCGTTCGAAATTATTAATGTTAAATCGTATTGTCATAGAAATTTATAAAAAAATAATATATTTATTAAATGTCATTTCTACATTCTAATACATTTTAATTACAAATTATTCAAACAAAACTAGTTCTTAGATTACTTCTATTGATTTACAAATTTTCTTAAATAATATTTGTTAAAGTATAGCTTGTTCATGCATGTATATGTTGCATATGCATCGTGCATAAAAATGTAAATAAAATAACTTTGAAATGAACAAATGTATATTGTTTAACATAACACATATAGCGCATATATTAAAAACAATTAATTTTATACTATATTTATTAATAATTTCTCTAGTAGAAATAAATAGTTATAATTTAAAGAAATTTTGTGCACATATGCAGATATATGCATGCACGCGCACACGTGTTCACTCGTTTACTCACTCAAACATATACGCAAATACACTATAATTTATAAAAAAAAAAAAAAAAAAATAAAAAAAAATCATCCTATAAATTTTATGGAAAATGCAATTAAAACGTAATTTGTTTATTTCTTCTATATTACTTTCAATAATTCATAAATCATATTTATTATCCTTGATATAAAAATATTTAAAAATAGTCTTTTCCATAACCCAATTCCTCTTTATTTATATAATTTTTTTTTTCCATCAAGCTTTACCCAGATTCTCAGCCAACTTGTCTAAAAATTCAAATGTATTTAGATAATCAGATCGACTGAGATCCTTAGCAGACTTAATACAAAGAGCAAGATCCTTCGTCATAAAACCGGATTCGATAGTGCTGATGCAAACTTTTTCCAGTTTTCGCGAAAAATTCCTTAACTCTTCATTATTGTCGAGTTTGGCACGATGTAAGAGACCTTGCGTCCAGGCAAATATTGATGCGATAGGGTTCGTTGAAGTTTCCTTGCCCTCTTGATACAATCGATAATGTCTTGTTACGGTACCGTGTGCTGCTTCAGCCTCAACAGTACGGCCATCTGGACAAATAAGAACGGATGTCATCAGACCCAGAGAGCCATATCCTTGAGCCACCGTATCAGACTGGACGTCGCCGTCATAGTTCTTGCAAGCCCAGACATAACCACCATCCGATTTGATCGAATAGGCTACCATGTCATCGATAAGACGGTGCTCGTACCAAAGCTTTGCTGCTTCATACTTTGATTTGTATTCGGCCTCATATATTTCTTGAAATATATTTTTGAATCGTCCATCGTACTTTTTAAGAATTGTATTTTTTGTGGAGAGATACAATGGATAGTTTCGAGACAGGGCATATTGAAAGCAGCTGTGAGCAAAGGCTTGAATACTTTCATCCGTGTTATACTGCGCCTGAGCAATACCAGCAGATTTAAATTCGTTCACAGTATGCTGAATCTTCTCTCCCGATGGGCTTGTCCAACTGATCTCAAGTTTTCCGGGTCCAGGAACTAAAAAATCAACTGCTTTATATTGATCCGCGTGAGCATGCCTTCCGATAATAATTGGCTTTTTCCAATTGGGCACTAATCGTGGTACATTCTTGCAAATAATCGCTTCTCGGAAAACCGTACCACCTAAAATATTTCTAATCGTTCCATTCGGACTCTTCCACATTTTTTTTAATTTGTATTCTTCTACCCTATTTTCATCTGGAGTTATAGTAGCGCACTTAATACCGACGTTGTACTTTTTTATAGCTTCTGCACAGTCAACGGTTACTTTATCATCAGTAGCATCTCTGTTTTCTATTCCAAGATCGAATGTATGTAATTCGATATCCAAATACGGGAACAATAACTTCTCCTTTATGCAATCCCAAATAATACGAGTCATCTCATCTCCAAGAATATCGACAACTGGTCCAACCTGCAAAAATAATTTTTACGTTTAATATTTCAAGTATTGTGATTAGAATGGAGTAAATGAGACATTTTTTTACGAAAAAAAAAAATATATATATATATTTTATTCGTTTAAATGCTTTCAATTCATACTAAATATAATGTTTCGTTTAAAAAAATATACAATCAAAAATCTAAATAACAATTAAAATCTCAGTTATAATATAAACAAAGAAGAATTATTAAGACTGCACATACATGTACGTATAAATATTTATAACAGTATTTGTGAAATCTGACAATTTTCCCGAAAGGCAAACAATAAACAAGAGAATACAGCGGTCCGAGTATAATCAATTTATATTACACATTTTATATTTTATACTGTTAATGATAGTTAGACGACATAACAAATTTGAGTTTACAAGCGATTTGCTTCTAATCATTATATAATAGAAATTGATACGTAGTATTGTGCGCATGTAATATAATTGTTGGTCTACTTATCAATTTCTTATACCTTTTCTCTATCACCAGATTTAATGATGATCACATAGCACAATTGGTAGATCACACATAACAATAATATTCAATTGTAAATCAGTAAAATTAATATAAACTAAAAATACGGTGCATGTAAATATGTGTATAATTGTGAGCACTAATATTTAATGAATAAATCACGCACAAGTACTTTCCCATATATAATGAATATATTTAAAAATAAAATTTATTCGCAAAGAATGCAATAAAACCAATTAAATTATATATATATTATATATATACATATATAATATGCATTTATAATTAATACTTAAAATTTGTGAATATATTTATGTTGAAGCATATTTTCAAAGTGAGTACCAAAGAATTCTCCTCACGCTATATAACGGATACAAATAAAATTTTACTTATTTTAAAACATAAAAGACTTTTTTTAATATTAGATATGTTATTATTTTATAAATTTATCTTATAGATTTTCACATTTTAAATGTGTATTGTTTAATTTATCTATTTTTTATGTTTTAATGCATTAATTTATTTTTACTTTAAAATTATTTAAGGGTTCTGATGAGATGTACTGTCACTTGCAAATTCTAGTTGACATTACGTAGTCTAACAAAATTTTTACCTTCTCCTATGGAGCAAATAAAGTGAACGGTATAATCAATAATGAAAAGTAATTGAATAATATAAGTAGACTACTTTTTCAGCTTAATTATTCTTTAAAATCAGTACACAGTACGAGTTTTTAACAATTTTGCATATTAAAAATGATTCAATTTTTGGAAATTGACTTGTATTTACGAATTATTTCCTAAAAGATTGGCAAGCCTTTTTACAAATTTGATCTTGCTTTATTCGGACCTACAGTTCAAAAATTCATGCAAAATATATATATAATGAAAAATTATCTTAAGACATTAAAAAATAGTTACGGATTAATAAGCCATTGAGAAAAATATAAAACAAATTTTTCAGTAATGTTTTCATTGCACAAATTAAATTACTAATCGTACAAAACGATCCGATAAAAAATTTCGCTCGGAATGATATTACACAAGATTTTTTTCCTTACTTTTTTTTATAGTTTCTAATGTATAATAGCAATTAGAAATGATTACAGCCATTAAATCATTGAAAATACTTACAGGATCTTAGGGACTCGTCATTATTCCATAGCATATAAATTTAGATAAATCATGAGTTTTTTTATATTAAACTCGCGATAAAATTGGCCTGAAAATCCGTTTTGTTATTTTGAGTGACTAAAGAGATTAGAGGGATTATACCGATTGTAGATAATATATTTTTTCATTTACCATGATTGTTTTAATACTAGTCTTCAATAATTCAAACAACTTTTACTATACAAAAATTCACGTTTTGAAGCACGATTTAACTATATTAGGAAGCGCCCCATTTTATAAGCAAACATCTGTATTTAATTAAAAAAAATCTGAAAACATTTATTGTAAAATTTATCAGAACCGAGAAGGTATAGCATTAATAAGTTTTCATTTGTACGCAAGTTCCCGTCAAACTTTTAACAGCTTAATGTAATATGGATATTCAACACTGATTTGAATACCCTGATAATTTACATTAAATGTGATGTTAATTCTAATACATGGAAATATATATTAGTTGATGTTTTTTTTTTTTTTTGTATTTTATCGAATCATTTTTTCCCCTTTTATGCTATACGAATTTCCAGAACATTCGATGTAATGAAGTATGGTGAATTACTATACTACATACCTGCGGTATTTATTTAAATAACTTTTTATTGTAATTATATATATTAATTTTCTTGTTATTAATTCAAAACCGTCAATTATGTATTTATAACGAAGTTGAATAATATTTCGATAATTTTGGTATTTTAATAAACAAATTTTATTTTTACCAATTATAAGAATGTAATCGATTAAACATGTTCGCTATGTAATTTGAATTACATCATTCCGATGCGCATGCGTATAATATAGAATACAGATATTGTTTTGTGGTTAGGCTTCCCTTATTTATTGATAACATTAAAATTTGTAATTGTCTTTTATAATTCTGTATGATATAAATAAAATTAAATTAATATAAATTTTCTTATTTATAAGTTCTTTTTTATAATTATAATGGAAATATTCAATTCGTGTTCTATTAGAAAATGTACGAGAGGAAAATTAATGTTTCCTAACAGTCTATGATCAAACATATATAAATAAAAAATTGTTAAAGCCCGTGGATTTCCGGTATACGCTAAACATATATATAAAGAGAGAGAGAGAGAGAGAGAGAGAGAGAGAGAGAGAGAGAGAGAGAGAGAGCGAGGGTAGAAAGTTCGAAGTAATTACTTCAAAGTTTTCGAGGCATATTTATTATCAGAAATGAGTGAATCATCATCATTCAACATCTATCTCAATGTCGTTACCAATCAGCTCCCAACCATTTGTCCATTCCCGTAATCCTGGTGCTCTTTGTCGCGGTAAAAGCTGCCATGACCACGATGCCGAATGGTTGGAACACAAGAAAGACGTCGAGAGCATAAAGACTTGCTGATAAGTACCGGCGGATCGATTCCCATCGCAAGAATGTTTAAAAATGAAAAAATATGAAAATATGAAAATGAAAAATTTGTACCTTCAGAGATTTTGGATTTGCACATCCAATGTTCTTTAAAATTATGAAATAATGAATTTTGTTTTAAATAATATAACTTTCCTATTTACATTCTGTCATGCAAGGTAGTTATTACGAATTCTTATCTATTATCCAAATTCGATACAATAATTCTATATGATGTTCATATACAGTATATTTAAATTTTATCAAATCGATAAAATAGAAGATAAATAGAAAATAAGATTTAAATAATGAATAACAATTATGAATAGTAATCACGAAAAATAGTTAGAAACGAAATTATATATGTAGAAAATTGATGGAAGTTTTTTTTCCTAACTTTCTAAGATTTAGTAATAATTATTATTTATTCTAATATAATAAATAATCATATTTCAAAGTAAAAACGATTTAATACAATTATTAAAACAAAATACTCTTACAAACAACAACAATGTATTTGCAATTTTTATAGCAGTACAAATTTTCCAAACAAATTGATCAATAAAATTATAGTAATTCAATATTGCCAATATTAAATATTAATAATACATAATATAAAATAATTTCATTCAATACCAGTTTAATGAAAGGTTTGAATAAACTTAAAATTACAGAATGATTGATTATTATTTCAGAATTGGTTTCCTGAAACCTAAATATAACTTTTCAATATAAAGAATTTTAATAAAAGATCAAGGTTCACTGAATATAAAACTTCATTCAAATGATCTATTAAACAAACAATATAATTTTCATAAATGTTAAGCCAAAAGATAGAGATAATATTAAGAAAAAAATGAAATCGTTTCAATACCACAAATTTTTTTAAACAGTCAGATAGCTCCTGCAGATATAAAGTGGAAAGATAATTTTAAATACAGTTCAATAAAATAAACAAAATACTTTTTTAAGTAATAATATTAATATTATGATTTTTATTGCGAAAATTAAGAAGATATTAAAAAAAAAAAGACATTTATTATTGAAACTCGTGTAAATAAGATGATGAGACTTTGTTACATAATTATATATTACAAGTAAAAATTTGTAATAAATATTTGATAACAAAAAAACTTGAATCTCTTGAAATGAAAAAAAAAAGGGAATAACACAAAATAGGCGCGCGCATGCACACACGCACACACACAAACATATATCCAAATATTCGAATCAAAATGAGCACATTTCTTTCAATAGATAATAGTATAAAAAATCATCTAATTAATTTACTTTACATATGCAGTAATGCGATAAAAATTTACTTGTACAATATAGAATAATAATATTTATTTGTTATTTTAACAGAATATATAAAAAGGTTTAGTTCTATTTTGTTTGCTCGGTAGAACTAAAAAATTGGATTATGCATTTAAAAAAGTTTAATTAAAACAATCTTACGATTTTAATTCATAATAGTGAAAAAAATTATTATTAAAACATGACTAATGGATTATGAATTATTTAGATTAATCAAAGGAATAAGTAAAATTGTGAGAAATAAAGTTCTTTTTATAAAAAAATTAATAAAAATTTGCAAGTTATCGATTTAAAAATATTAATCCGCTAATATTAGTTTATCCTTAATTTACTGTATTTTAATAATAATAATAAAGAGTAATATGATTAGCAATAGCAACGATAATAATAGTAATAATAATAAGAATATGTACGAATAAAAATATAAGATTTCTTCTTCAAATTTTATGATTTTTCATGGTTTCACAACGGCGGTATTGTTAACCAACCCAACCTGAGTTTGCTAATGACAATTATCATAAGATGGTAATGACGAACAGTCGAAACTTCTAAACTCTGCATAACACGATTAGCAATAATAATAATAACAATAAACGTCAAATGTCAATGTTCCCATTTGCTGTAATTGGTGAAAGTTTTTGGAGAAAAAAAAAAAAAAAAAAAAAAAAAAAAAAAAAAAAAAAAAAAAAAAAAAAATCGGTCGATACAATACATGTTCTCTTTTAGCTTTCTTAATGAAATTACACTCGTAAAATGAAAAAAAAAAATTTACTCTCAATGTAAAATATATTATTTTAAATAGCACCGATTAAAATAAAATAAATGCTCTATAATGCAAAGATATTTAGTATTTTTTTTTAATATTAATAAATAACATTGAAACCTTGTATTTGTGATAAACTTTTTTTTTCATTTTTGTTGCTTCCGTTCATGAAATATACATGAGACGGTAGAAACAAATATTTAATCAATCGAGCTAACGCACAGATAAAACATTTTTTCCATCTCTTATCTAGCGAAAGATCAACGTGCAAAACATGAAAATATATTACACAATAAATAATAGGTATGTATAGATGAATATAAGCTTATTGGCCTTGAAATCAAGGTGCGGCAAAGAGAGCGACGTATCGAAGAATCGAGTGTTACTATATTCACCGCAAATCGACATTTACAAAATAATAATTGATTCGTCATCATTTAGCGTTAATCGTCTATTAATGTTGAGCCAATCTATAACTATCAATTTCCAAGCTGATAAGCACGTAAGATTCGTGGCCTTGGCTCAACTAACTACACACGTCTACAATGATCTCAAAAATGGAAAGAATTTCAAAGTTCACGATATTTCTCCGTTACCGAGTATACATTTTGTTTTTCTTTCTTTTTTCTTTTTTTAAGCACCTAACACCACCATAAGCATAAGGAACCGAAAAAGAAGCGGAAAAAAAAAGAATAACAATATATTATAGAATTTACCTTTATCTTTGCCATGCTCGCAGACGAAACGCTGAAATGTCGGAGATCAAATGAAGTAACTGTAGCCGGCTGTAAATCACAATTCGAAGAACGAGAATTTTGTGAGGTGGAGGACGAACTTACAGCTATAAAGCCCCGTGTGAAATGAAGTCGAGGTGAGCTTCGAATAAAACCCGCGCCTACTCGGTAGCAGAACTGGAGGGGAACGGCCATAGCGGCAATGCAACTAATGATGGGATTAGATCGACACAGAAAAAGATGAAGAATAAAAGAGAAAGAGGATGCGAGTACGTGGACGGAAGGGAGGACAGTGGGTAAGGAGCGAGAGAGAGAGAGAGAGAGAGAGAAGGATAGAGGAACTTTCTCGGAATTCCGACTGTTACACCGAGTGCAGAAGAATTTGCCTATTAATGAGCCGGCCCGACTTGTTTGTTTTTACGTGCTCCGACTGTACGAATCACGGCTTCCCAACCTCAAAACGCTCCCTTACAATGCACACGTATTACTGTAGTTTTTCTTTCTTTTTTTTTCGCAAATACGTTGGTTCTTGATACTTTGTATAAATCAATGAAGTAGGTCGAGTCGAGAGAAAATTTAGGTAAGGGATTGCCAACGTTTTAGGAGGACTAACACTTGATTCAAATGCGTACTCGATTGTACTAAGAATGAGCGGTGAATCGATATATTCTCTTCTCAATCATTTTTTCCCTTCCAGTTTCCCTCCAAGGAAACATAGTTGTAACTCATATTTTTTTCCAACAATTATTCGGCCGTTATCTTTCCAATACACACAATAGCTGACTTGTTTGTGCACGATACGTATTTTATCGAATATTTCTATTAGATGAAATAATCAAGCCTTGAATTTTGAACTATTGACACATGTAGATAATAATGTTAATGTTTTCTCTCTCTCTCTCTCTCTCTCTCTCTCTCTCTTTACTAGCAAATTGCAAAAATATTTATACCAATATCACTAAGTAGGCATTCGATTATTACCATTCAAATATAAACGAACTTACTGTCTGTAAAATTCATTATATTTATTTTAATGATTTTAAATACTGAAATAATGCTATTTAAAGTAACGATTGCATTACTTCTATCAATTCATAATGTTTCTTATTAATATGTACAAAATTAATGATTTCTTATTTATATAAATTTCACAAAACGATATAACAAAAATTAAATATACAAAAATAATGTAAGCTTATAAAAGAAAATAGAAATATAAAACATATATTTTAAAACAACAAAACTTAATTATTTATCCAAGATTTATATATGTATATATACATATATATATATATATATATATATATATATACATAAATGTATATATATAAATATATATATATATATATATATGAATTAGTAGCATAAAATTAACTCTATACACTGAAAATGCTTGCAGTAATCATTTCCAATATTTTTGTTTCAAAATTTCTACAAAATATCACTTTGTATAATTACAATTTTACAAAAACACAAAAATAATTACAATGCAATTTCTAATAAATATATTACTTATATGTGTTAAATAATTACATAAAATGAATCGAATATTTTAATAATATTAGCGCTTTATGTATATGTAAAAAAAAAAAAAAATAATAAAAAAATAATTACATCAGTTTCTTTATATCATTAATTCTATTGTGTTTACTAAAGTTGTCGAATAACATAATAATTTACAACCTTGGATCAACTTCAATAAAGGAGTGATTAAGGATGGTGAAGTACATTCATTAAATTGCAAATAATTTAAATTCATTATTGTAATTAATTTTACTGACAGTGTTTTTTTTTTTATTTTTAAAACTTATAATAACGCTTCATGAAGATCTGGGTTACTAAGATCCAAACCCGGTAGTTTCTGAAAAAAATACACTGTTTTGCAAAAACTGCATAAGCGTTAATTTTTTTTTTTTTTTTTTTCAACATTAAAGAAACTTAAATTTTATAATCTAAATTACAATGTCTTGTATATTACACTTACATGTTTGTACAAATCCTTATCAGGATTATGCGACGTACGTATAGACTTTTCTGAAAAGCATAAAACATTTTCGATTTAATTTTAATAATCAATAACATCAAAATCATTGGGAATTAGCGAATGATGCGAAATATCAATTTATAAATATTTTACAAACCTGTCTTCCGGCGTACGGGCTAAATATTCTCGTTCAATTAATCCTTCGATACGTTTTTTAATAATAACTGGCGAAGGTAAAAATCGCGCTCGCAATTGATCTGTTACTTCAGCCACTAATATATTATGCTTGAAAAAATAAAAATTTTACAAATTATTAGACGTGTAATCGTAAAACTGAATACTGCATTACTTAAAGACTTACTGCCATTAGTTTACGAGCTTTCATTATACGAACTATCGCAGCTTCGATTTCATGCTTTCTATCTTCATCAACTTTATTTCTCGTCTCTTTCCTTTCTGGTTCACATTCCCCCTTAGCTGCTACAGTTTGAATTTTAACTCTGAAAAAAAGAGACAAAAATTATACAATCAATTTCATATCTTCAAAGAATGGGAGAAAACAATGTTATACACTTGAAAAAATGTCCAAGTTAGGAGCAAAAAGTAAATCTGTCATTTATGAAATATTTAAAAGAAAAAGAAAAATGTAAAATTGATTTTATAAATAATTGGTGAATAATAAAAAAATAAATAAGTTATATTATATACTTTTTACTCTCTAATATAAATCAATATTACAGGAAAATTTTATTTATAATAATGATTACAAGAAGTATTTTAATTGCACCAATACTTATTATAATATTGATTTATAAATAACTTATATTTCCTTTTTAGATTAATTTTATACTTATGTAATATTGTATTTATAAAATAATATTTAAAATATTGTTTAATGCAAATGAAACTCCAAATATTCCACTACTTTACAATGAACTATACGATAAATATAAATAAGTTAAATTTTAAATATTTAGAATTTATTTATTTGCTTACCATAATATATTTACTATTAAATCGTTTACTATTAATATGAATACAAAACATTAATATAATTTCTTTCTTATTATAATTTACTCTTCATTTGATAATTTTATTGAAAATTACTTGATCAACGGTACAAACGAACTCCACATTTGTGGAATATAAAAAATTTTGCAGTAATTTTTTTTATGATTACGGGAAATTAACGGCAAATTTTAAAACACGTGATTTTACTTGTAAAGAATTTGTAACCGAGATCTTTCTAATCTCATATGTGCTCTTCATTCGAGCTGTTTCCGCATCATAATCACAATGTAAAAGCAAATTTGCATATGAAGTTAAAGTAAACATGAATATACAATATCTAAGATCTTAACAATCTAAAATTAAACACTTCAAAATATAAAATTTACAAAGGGTAAGAGAATTATCTAATTATAAAAAATTTATTATCAAATAATATAAATTTCAATATTCAAATTATAGTTTTATTTATTATAATTAATTGTTTTGTGCTGTTTAATGCTAAAATTATTATATCTTATATTCTTAATGATTACCATATACGATTAACATTATATTATTAAAACGATGATATAATTACTCAAATTAATTAATTAACAGCGATAACTTAAAATTTTTTTCATCTTGAAATAAGGTTAGTTTTCTTACCTATGAAGTTTGCTCGTAAAACTGTCGTTTACACAGAAACAGTGAGATGGTTCTATGTCTTTTGTTCGTGGATATTTCAATAAAACTCGTTGCGTTGCTTTTCCCATAGCTAATGACTGTAGTGCCCTTATTAAATCCCTCTCAGGAATATCTGTTTCGTTTTGAATCTCTTCATACGTTAACCTTTCTCTGTTATTGAACAACATCAGGACACACATTTGATAAGTTGAGACTTGAATTATGTGCTTCCGTGCAATGCACGTTCCACTATTACTGCGTTGGCTACTACCATTGCTTCCAAATCCTTGAGAGGAAGATGGACAATCCGCTCCAAGATTGCTTTCTTCTCTTCTTGGCCCGTAAAAAATTGCATTTAAATCCGCTGAACCTGTCGTTATTAACACATTTTCCAATTATATATTTACAAATTTGTAATCACGCATTATAGGCAATAGAAATTATTAGCAAAAAGGGAGTCGAGCGATATCTCTCGTACCTAATTGTGGCTGTAAAGTTAGTTGGCGACCACTGTGTTTACCAAGATAAAAATGGCGAAAGGCATCGAAGGCATCGCGGGGTGCGGAAGGCATACTGCATTTCGGAGTCGCAGCTTGGGTTGGCCAAAATCCAGTTGTCAAAACTCGTACACTCAAATCGACACCGCTCAATGTCATCTTGAAAAGTCAATGTCACAATGGGTGTGATTATTTTTCTTTAAATTATCAAGAAAAATTATAATGAAAAGTTTTTAATTAACGTAATCCACAGTATGAAACTTGATTCTTTATTAAATGTATTTATATGAAATTATAAGCCTGTTAATGTAAAATTTGCATAAAAAAATGTGTACAGTAATTTTTTGTCTCTTTACAATATCAACGATAAATAAAAAATTATACATTAATTTTGTTTTCATGTCTCAAATGTATAAAAAATATCCGGATATAATATAATATGAAAATAAAAAAAAAAAAAAAAAAAAAAAAAAACCGTTTAAAAAAAAAATTAATAAAAGAAAGACGTTAATTTTAAATTACGTTTATTATAAGTATAACTTACTCCATAAGCTAGTATATGTTCTTTAAATTCTTCCATAATCGTATTACTAACAGTAATATCCTTGAACATGCCTTCTAATTTTGATGTGAATTGACAGCCACACTCAGTCTAAATAAAAATAAATTAAACTATCTAATTAATAATGCAATTTTGTAGATATTATGCGCTAGTTAGTTTAAACTTTTCAACAAATTAACAATCTACGAGTATAATGTTCTTTAATATGCATAATTACTGATTCGAGTAATTCATTTGACTAAGTAGTCGGTAAGCGAAGTTTTGAAGACTTTTGAAAAGTAGTAAGTAAGCGAGATATTTATATTTATATTTATATTGATATTGATATAAAATCATTAATTCTGCATAATTAAAGACAATTATTTAATGTACATAATAATTTACCTTCAATTTCGATATCATATTTTTCTCACTATCATCCGAAACGGATTTATTCAACAAAAGTCGCTTGGCCAAATGTTGTTTATAATATCTTTCGAAAACGTCTTTCTCTTGAAGAAATCTAAATAATACCATCGTTTTATCCAAAATACCTTCAATTTCTTGCTCAGTCATCTATTGTTGAAATTAAAGTAAATATAAACATATTTAATAAATGTATAATTCATGTAATAGAGAAGCAAGCGTTTGTATGAAAATAATAGAAATAAAAAATATCATCAATGAAATTATTGATATATTTTAATTAACAAATCCATCTGTATTAAAGCTATTACTAAATTGATAAATCTCAATACTAATTTCCATTCATTTATTTCCCTCATAAGTAATTATTAAGTAATTATCGTACGAAAAAATCACGTGCACACATATCTAAAAAATAAACTTACCCCTTTAAGACCTTTTTTTAATTTGTCGTCAATGAACAATGATAGGTATTCGGGACTCTTCGTATTTAAGTTTAAAAAATATTCAAAATCTGATGCAATCATTTGCTTAAACTGCTTATCGTTACTAAATGAATAATGAAGAAAGTGTTCGAAACGATCTTTTAAGTCTAAAAGATTTTGCACAAATTGCACTGCATTGGTGCCAGATTCCAATTCTTCTTGAACTAATGCTCGTCCTCTTTCTCTTAAATACTGTGATACACATCCACAAACGGTATTTAATCCATCGGTAACTCTAGAGAATAATTTATACATGCATCCAAGATCTTCAGTCTTCAAGTTTTGAAGCATATGAACAACACCGCTATTTTCCATCTGAAATGATACAGCAAGTTATAAATTAAATTACTCGGTAACAAATTTTAAGCGTATCGATGTTAGATTTCACACTCGTACCTCTACTATCGTTTTCATATTTTTTTTAATTAATTCCTCTTCAACAACTTCCACTATCCGAGGTTCCGTAGATTCGTCTAAATAATGTTTGGCCCTTTCTGACTCTTCGGTGATTCTAGCTTCAACTTGTTTTATATAAACGGATGCACTATTTTCAGCTAAAAATTTCTGTGACTCCATCTAAGAGAAATTTTCATTTATTCGTAAAATGAAGGAACTTGTAATAAAATCAATTTATTAAAAAGCACATACCTTATAAAATTCAATGCTTTGCTGCAAGAAAGGTCGTTCAAAATCTTCTTCGTAAACTTGACGACTGTTAATACCTAATAACATTAACATTTGGCAAGCATTTTTTATCGCTATACGGTCAACGATTTCACCTCTTCTTTCTCGAGCCACCATCCCTAGTAATGTTTCACGTAGATGATCTCTTATGCATCCGTATCTAACGACCTATTCAACGATGCAAATACTTTGTCAATATCATTTGTTAACATTCAACTTTTCAATTAATAACGGCATAATTTAGATTATCTGATTGATAATCATATGAAGCACAATTACAATTAAGTTAGAATTTATACGATCGTTTATATGTATTTTAGGAAATAAATTTACAGTAAAAAATTTATATAAAATTTCATTTCTTAATCCAATTAAATCTCTTCTAAATTAAATTATAATAATAATCAAATTAAATTAATTATAATGTTCAGTGGATGTTTAAATAAATTTTCCCGTACTTTTTAATACAATTTAAATTGTAAGCCTTGAATTATAAGAAAATAAAACTTTCACTTACTTGATCACGAAATATAATGAGGCCCAAATTAAATACATTGTCCACGTTGTTTTGTTGTACATAAACCCGATCCATGTACATAAGAATATCTCTTATCATCACCATAGATGTTTGATGATCGTTCCATGCTTGATTTAAAGTCTGTAGAAAATTATTATGAAGAGAATCTAGTACATCTTTGCGCACTTTGTTCACAAGATGATGTGTAATGACTTCCTTCAGTCCCGTGTAAAGCCTTTCGCCATATTTATGAAGTACCATTGTATATGCATTTCGGTAAAGTTCTTCAAAACTGAGACTGGAATTATTTTTCTTTTGTATTTCTTGAATTGCATTTTTTAGAAGAGCCCAAATATTTTCCACGTATCTTTCATCCATAGATGTCTGCAATACAAAACAAAAAAAAAAAAAAAAAAAAAAAAACAAAAAAAATAGATTCAGTAACAATAAATAATATACAATTATAATTATTATATTCTCACAAGTCTTTTTGTAATCATGAAAGGAGTTGTCGAGGGATATTTTAATAATCTTGAATCTGGACTCTTACGACTTAAACTTTTAAAATTATTTTGAAAAGAAGATTCTGTAAACTGACTATAATCCATGGTGACCTTTATATAATGATCTTGTATCTGTTCGATTTAAGTTTTTTGACAACTGACAACATTAAACACCTTGGACTGTAACCATATGAACTTCCAATACATTTTTAAATTATGTGTTCCATTTAAAGATGCTTTTCAAAAGGTAAATAAATTTAAAAGTTGTGAAGTTATAGAATACAAATCTGATGGATTGTCACATTTATGACTTGCAATTTAACAAGGAATGTTAACCCAATTTTTTTTTTTAATTTTTTGGTATAAAATTTGAATATCAAAAGTTTTACATTTTATTATCCAGTTACCAAGGAGATTTAAAATGGCAAAAAGAAATTTTAACCTAAAATCTATTTTATAATTCTTGACACGTAATAATAATACTTGTAAATTTCAATTGTAATAAAGAAATAATTAAATTTTTTATAGCAACGTTAAAAACTATTTTTATTTTTTAATGGTTTTTTTTTATTTTTTTTATTAAAAAGAAAGTACCAATAGGA